TGTCCCTTCCCCACTAAGGTGGAGCGGTGCTGAAGGAAAAGCAATTTTGTTTGGAGCGTGATCGGCGGTCCCTTTTTGTTTCTTTTTTCCATTCAAAACCCATAGCTAAATTACCGAGCGCTGTTACACAACCATTCTATCGCGAGGCTTGCCTTTATGGTGCTTTCATAGTCTGCGACGTCCGCACGACCGCACGGACAGTGCGAAGAGCGTCAACACGCGCACTGGCGCATGACGCGCAAGGCGTCGACTCTGCGCCAAGTACGCGTTGTGCGCCAGAGCGCGTGTTGACGCTCTTCGCACTGTCCGCACGGTCGTGCGGACGTCGCAGACTATGAAAGCACCATAAAGGCAAGCCTCGCGATAGAATGGTTGTGTAACAGCGCTCGGTAATTTAGCTATGGGTTTTGAATGGAAAAAAGAAACAAAAAGGGACCGCCGATCACGCTCCAAACAAGATTGCTTTTCCTTCAGCACCGCTCCACCTGAATGGGGAAGGCACATGTTTGGAAGAATTGTTTTTCAAACATAGTCGCACCAATTGCTATCCTTCAATCATACCTCATAGTAAGAAGTGCTATTAGCTGCCACGTCCTAAACAAAGTTGCATGAAGCAAAGGCCATCATGATTGACCCCTCCACAGCCACGGTAGGAGGGAACGGTTGCAATGGTTGCGTTCACCCGCAGTGTAGTTCTTGTCAGTGAGTCGCTCCTGGGGCTTGCCTCTAAATGATCCCATTTTCGGACACAGTAACCCACAGATGTTCAGTCGCGGTGTGCGCCTTCAACTCTAACCACCTGTGGTGCACATGTGAACCACAACAAACTTGACAAACGCTTACTAGTGGTACGTTTATTCAGAGATAGGCTACGAGAGGTGCAATCTCTAGGTAGACGTCAGCTGAGACACCCTACCTTGGATTAGTCATTAAAGCAGGTCATAGTCCGAAGCTCGCACCAGTGAGTGAATGTGGCTCCAAGAGGAGGTAAAGCTCTATCTCATCGTTAATACTCATTCCACTGGCTCTTATGTCAACTTCAATAAATTCGTCAGGCTATGACTGAACGAATGATGAGGGATGGACAATTCATCAGCTACAAAGTGACGATGCGGAGTTCCATGTACAGCAGCATCGGCGATCCCAATCTCGAGGTTGATAGTCCTCGATGTTGGTCTCCAGACGAAAACAACTTAGCCGCATCGTCGATTCGTTTGCCCTCTGGATCCAAAAACTGGAAGCGCGTCGAGTGCAGACCACACCACACAAGTGACGACGGCCTCCAAGTAAATCTGGTTACTAGTGGTTCATAGTGATAGCTGATTTTTGGTAAATGATAGTTGTAATTAGTGACAACTGATAGAATACAACTGCAACAGGCTAATCATTTCATTGGCAGAAAACATTTACATTTTGTGAAGGTTGTCGTCATTTGTGTTGTGTCGACGTGCTTCTGGCTCACGGAAGCAGAGTATACTTATTGAAATTCTTCATGAACTTTACGTCTCTGGTACCCACGCACCGCTCCTTATGTGGGCTTGAGAAGTGCTGCTGCTTAACATTAAGCTCCTAATTGGGTACATTGTCAGCCTAGAAGCTATAAAGGTCAGTTGTTGGACTGTACTGCACGTTCTTTCTATGCTCTCTTAACAGTACCACTGGTGCATGCGACCACTCGATGTGGGCTCCTATTTACCTCTCATACTTTCTGATCTTCTAAGCAAATCTGCTATCTTGTTTTTCGTTTCAGATTTCATTTCCCTAGTTTTATTTTTTTTGTATTTTTATCAATCTATGTTTTTTTTTCTTCTCAAGCCCTGTGCTATTATAATTAATTGCTCTCTCAGTTTTTGCGATCTATTTTTGTGGTGGGTGCTCCCCAACTTCTTTGATGACTTGACATTGTAGCAGCGCGCTGTTTAAGCGCAAAATAAAAAAATAAATAAATAAATAAAATTACGGTTCGAGTATGAAATCAATGAATAGCGATTTGCACACGTACTGCCACATGTAGCCATTGATACGGAAATGACTCTGCGACCCGATAAGAAGTGCGGTGAGACGGTGCCCTCTCGTTTCCATCCGCCGCGCACTCTCAAGGTCATTTTCCATCCACATTGTCGTCGTCGTTTACACTAACAGCAGAGGAAGAGGGATCTCACACTAATCAGGTTAGATATATTTTTATAGGAACAGTCTATAATGGTATCAAAAATTGTGTGCTGTGGCCAACACTTGTGCTGCATAACGCAGCATTCTTTAAAACAATGTTAATAATGGATATACAAACTAATATTGCTTCTCGTCCGTTATATACAGGCCAAAATTGAGCTGTATTATTGGTATGGCCTCATGCTTTTGTCTCATTTCGTTTACTATGGAATTGAATCCATACCGATTCACTACTCACGCCTGACTCCCGTTAAGTGATTGAGAAATTCAAGATGAATAGGGTCTTGGCGAACTGTATCCGCTATAAAACGTTCACTAGAGATCAAATCTTTCAACTCGCCTCCTTAGCAAGGTGGCGCATAGTTTTACTCAGCCCAAAACAAAGACTCGACATTAACCATTCGAATGCGCACTTTTACCTTGTCTAAGAATCCGCATCGAAGGGGACCGTTGAATGGTCTCCTAACTGAACTTAATGTAAGACAATTCCTCGAATGTCTCAGGTGAAAGAACCTGCTACGGTTGATATACACGGCGGCATTCGAAACTCACCTTCCTCTCCTCCCGAATTTGAATAATTGCCCGTAAGGCACAAGGATTCTGTGGTGCAAGTTTGTTGTCATCGTCTACCGTAAAGTGGTCTCATGCGCCGCACATGAACTTCATGAGGCTGTTAAAAGTTTACGATTAGAACGCAGCCTAATGGAATCAAGGCAGAGGTGATCAATGGTGCAGGGACCGGGCAAAAACCATGAAAAGCGCACAAAAACGAAAATTGGGATCTTTTCCTTGCCCATTGATTTCCGCATTGCTGCGACTCTCGTGGTGCTGACCTCATCTGCATCTGCTAACGCTCTCTGTCCTAGATGGTTAGAGCCAAATGGCGAGTGTAGGGCCATACTAGATCGCCGGGAGCATTTCCACTGCTCCGAATGTCGTAATGGTCTGCATACTTAATGGGTTCGCCTGTCTTCAAACTAGCTAGGTTACCCTTCTTCGACCACCGACCTTATTGCGAAAGCCTCCTTCAACGGAACGGGTCGTGACCGGATCCTTGCAGCAGTCCTCTTTTTTAGTATAGCAGGCTCATCAAGCAGCATTGTCTCCACTAAAAAGTGCGTGACAAGGCGCAAAGGCCTTGCCTTGGCCGCTGCAATTGCTGCCATTTTTTCTCGTTTGTAGCACACCTGGGTCTGGGCCCTCTCGTACAGCATGCACTGTACCTTCGCACTTCTTGTTTCATATTCGGTGGGAAAACTCTTGTTTCATTTTCGGTGGAAAACACAACATTTCGAATGCGACCCGTGCCTTGCAAGTGATGGTCAGCTTAGTTGTGACCTTCACACTGCAAAAAGAGAATGTCAGGATCATACTTGCTAACTTACTACACTTCTATTATTTCACTGAAACGGATTTGAAATATATTTTTAGGATGAGAGAAGGTGCTCGGAATTGACTTCTCCCCACTTCCTTGAGCCATTCGACCAGAAACTGCTCACACTGGGTGTCGTCGCACACTTTCTTATCAGCATTCCTCTGACCATATTCTTGCGCAGTGTTACCAATCATCCTGGTAAATTTTCTTACTGATGGATTCGGAGAAAGGAAAGCAGTTTCCGGAGTACATACAAGAGTGATAATGGTGGTGCTTCCTGTGACCGAAAGGTGTGCTTCCCCGAACAGGAGAGGGACCCCTCCCTGGTAAGGTATGCTCTCCCCGAAAACTCTCGGGGAAAGAAAATGCCATCGGTTCTCGGGGATGTCTCCCGGACTGCATGTCAATCAGGGGATATCTCCCCGATTGCATGTCAATCGGGGAGATATCCCCGAGAACCGGTGGGCGTGGCCTTTCCCCGAGAGTTTTCGGGGAGAGCATACCTTACCAGGGAGTGGTCCCTCTCCTGTTAATGCCTGACCTCAGGTCCGTGATAAACTGTTCGTCTCCCCAACCTTATTCATTTCAAGAAAGATCAAAAAGTTCGCTTGGCAGCAGTAGCGAGATGACTGAGGGGATCTTGCATGTCGTGGGTCCGTCGTGAATAGCAACGATGGAGGTTAGGGAAGGCATTTAAGGCGTTTTGTGAAGTGCTTCCAAATATTTCCCGATTTGGTGAACAGTTGAAGGTTAAGCTCCTAATTTTAGCGCTTCGGATGATTCACCTTGCTTTTTTGCTCATCTTCGGCTCACTCTGCAGCACGGTCTTATACACCAGTTTTATCCTGGAGCTTGCCTTTAAGCCAGTCCACACCATTTAGGGGTGGGGAATTCTGGGGGGATTCTTCAATCAAGACCTTTTTTAGTTTTTTGAAATCATAACTTGATCAGAACAGCATAATTAAGTGTCGAATTCACAGATATTCTCATGGCAATGGCATATTCTGCTCCTGTACGCGCTATGGTTCCTGTATGACCGGAAATCGCCACGAACGGGCGGCTACCGTAGGAACTTCGTTCAACGGTTTGTACTATATTCATCCACTTTACCTTCTATATTGAAGTGTTTGTTTATATCAGATGGACAATTTATAAGTGGTTCGCTCAGTATTTCCCAATAACCCTACACAAAACCGCCCCTCTTCCAGCAGACCGAGTAAGCTCACTTCACATTTCACTCATTTGGCACATAGTTTCCTCTACGATTATTTCAGAATTACATTTTTGGATGTCATCCTCATGGGATCATCGGTATGGCAGTTACATCAAATTTCGCGTCGGAAGGGACCGGTAGAAGCAAACTGGTCGGTGGAGTCAGTCAAAGGTCGTAAAAACCAGCAAAGGCTTTCGAATTCCCATGAAACTGCAGATTGGCCCTAGGCGAATCGATTAAGCCTGAGATGCTTGTTAAAAATGTAAAGCTCGAAAGTGCTACGTAATCTGCCAAGGAAGGTGTGAGCGGTCAAGTTGGCTCAGGGTTCGATTCTCCATCATGACAAATGTTTTGCATTTCAGGCAGGCACTTCAAAATTGGTGCCAAATGGCATCAGTGCCAAGAATAAAAGAGAGAAGAATAAGGATGGTATATTTGTAATCGAGGCAATCGGTCTACCTTAGGCCGACGTCCGACTTTGCGAATCGAGCGATTCGCTCGCGGTCAGCAAATCGCTGACCGCGAGCGAATTGGTTGGTAACGCAACACGACCGCGGACGCTAGCGAATCGCAAAGTCTGACATCGGCTTAAAAGAGACTTTCTACCAAGTATGGACCATCATGCCAACGTAGCACTCACAATCACTTTAACCATTCATAACGTCCTGGGCAGATTCACGTAGCGTTTTCGCCTCCACATTAGAAATCGGCCTCACCCAACAATTCGGAGTACCAGGGAAGGTTTGAAGCCTCCCTGGTACTATTTACCGGAAGTGACGGTGTTACCCGGGACCGACTTATGTGCGTCGTCCTAAAGAACACCGTCCACAGTTCCTTTTGCTGGGCGTGCACCTGTCTTCACGACTTTATCTTGGAGAAATTTTCAGTTCCCTGGTCTACGATTTTCGGTGTGCACATTGGCATCAAATTTCAACATAATGATTACGTAAGCGAATTGCTATATTTATGTTTATTGTTTATATTTATATTTACTATGTATTGATTTATTATAAATAATACATAGATTCAGGTGAGTACCAGATGAGATCCTTTTCAGGAGAGAGATTCTGCTGTTGGGCGGACTCATTGACTGCTCTAAGGAAAGTATCGGAAATGCACTCACACAACAAAAAGCTGGACGAGCCATAGTGATTGCTGTAGGTGAGTGATTAGAGTTGCTTGACCTGATGCGGCTGAACTGTCAGGTTGGTTGATAGTGTCCATGATAACAATTTGCACTGCTTTTCATCTTACCATTAGAGGAGCACTCCATGATAAAGACCATGAAGAAGGGGAACTATGCGAAAGGACAGGTAGACCCTTGCGGATCGACACGCAATTTGCAGCGAAGGATAAGCCCTGGCGATCTAGCATGGTCTTCCCGCGACGGTCCCGTTGAGTTACGCCTCCACCTCCCTCGCTGTCCGAGCCATTAGCCGTTTAGCAGAGAGAGCTTGGTGTTGAAGAATGCAGGACCTATGCGAGTCGCATCAATGCAGTAATCGAGGGCAGAGGTTGGGAGTCCATTTTCCGGTGTTTCGTTTGGTTCTTTCTTCTTTGTGCACTCTTACCTTGCTATCTTCCAATGGGCTGTCTTTTAATCCAAATCCGCTTCTGAGCACGTACAATTTGCGCTGTATTACGAGCAAGTAAGCAGACAAATGAAAAAAATATACTATATTATCATCGCGGACTTCTCCACCCCTCTCGTCCTCTCTTTAGTGAGTCCCCTAATTGGTGCAGTACCACCGTTCCCTATTGACACACCTTCTCTTCAAGAAATCGGCCGATAAGGAAGGATGATGTTGGAACGGCAAAAAGATACGAACTCTTCAAAATTTCCTGCATTTCGGTAAACATAATAGTCCCGCCTCACAAAAAATTTCCTTTTCTAAGAATACACGCCAATACCATCATCGGCAACCCACGTAAGAATCATGAATTCAATATCCATCGCTGAGTTTGATCAGCCCTGCCCTGTTAACACCGAGTAGCGCTTATCCTATTTGGAGAAACGGAATGGTTTGGATGTGGCGTTGTGCCGCTCCATCTCTCACCCGTCGCATCCCGCTACCTTCAAAGACAAGAGCCGAAATTTCTGGATAAAAATATCTCTTATCTTTTTGTGCGAGAAATATGGAGTGGAACGTCACCGCAGAGCAGATATCCACATGGCGCTTAAGGCTGAGACCCTGAGGCCCAAGGATTCACCGTATGCTCCGCCCTCCTCCATAGGCCCCCCCTAACCAGTTCTAGTTAGCTTTGCTGCTAAGCAAAACAGAACCGATCAACAGTGAATTTTGAAAGTTTCCAATTCAGGCGGAGCTGAAGAAGCTCTCGAAGCCCGTCCGGGGGCGCACAAGTTGAAATTGCTCACACGGAAAGGATTTGTAAAATTGGCACTCCAATATGGCGCCTCTCTAGTTCCCGTGTATTCGTTCGGGGAAAACGATCTTTTCTATCAGGTGAATTATTAAACACTGGCCAATTCTGCATGGGTCTCAATTGATTGTTGGTATGCTGTACTTAATTCAAAAAAATCAAATTTTACACGTTCAGCTCGATAATCCTGAGGGATCTTTGGTGCGCAAAGTTCCAAACATTGTCGAAAAATCTGCTCGGAATTTCGATGCCTCTTTTCTACGGAAGAGGGCTGCTTCAGGTAAAATCCACTGCTAATTTTTATATACATATGCTGAAAAGAAAATGTATTTTCAGCTAAACTTTCGGCTTTCTACCACATCGGAGACCGATTAACACTGTTGTTGGAGCACCGATAGCCGTTCCGATGGTGCCCGACCCGA